TTTTTTCCTTTTACAAATATGGAATATGAAACAGAAGCAGAAATTCACAGCTAAGCACTAAGCAGAACTCCTGGAATCCAGTTGTAGAGAGGGAGGAGTAAGGAGCAAAGGGGTCAATAGCATGCTGGGGAAACCCACAAAACAGCTGACCTGAGCAAGTGGGAGCTCACGGACCCCAGTCAGGCAGCTAGGGAACCAGCATAGGACCGAACCAGGCCCCCTGAATGTGTATGTCAGTTGCGGGGGGGATCAACAATCTATGGGACCTCAGGCAGTTGAACCAGATTTATCCCTAGTGCACAAATGGGCTTTGGGAGCCCAATCCCTATGGAAGGATACTCTCAGCCTAGATACATGGGGGAACTTTGATGGTCCCCCATGGGAGGCCTCACCCTCCCTGAGGAGTGGATGGGGGTGGCATGGAGGGTTGGTGGAGGGCATGGGAGGATGGGAGGGAGAGGGAACTGGGATTGGTATGTAAAATAAGATTGTTTTTAATTTAAATAAAAATTAATAATGAAATAAAAAATGGAATGCTTCGTGAATTTGAATGTCATCCTTGGTCAGGGGTTAGTATATGTGCTACCCAAGTGAACAATGGACATTAATTCTTACCAGTGAAGCTGAGTGCTAGATTTAGAAACCATCCTGTTGTTGACTATTAAGCCACAGTTGATTAGAACCCTGACGTTTCCAGATACAGTGTCACATGCCTATAATCCTAACACTTGGAAAACTGGGGCAGGAGCATAGTGAGTGCACGGTAATCTTGACTACATAATGATACCTTGTCTCAAGACAACAAAGGACAGCTAGGCATGATGGTTCACACCTATAATCCCAGCACTTGACAGCCTGAGGTAGGAGGGCTACAACAGTGGTTCTCAATCTGGGAATCTCAATCCTCACAGGGGTCGTATATCAGATTTTACATTATGATTCATAACAGTAGCAAAATTACAGTTATGAAGTAGCAACCAAATAATTATATGGTTGGAGGTCACCACAACATAAGGATATGTATTAAAAGGTCACAACATTTAGGAAGGTTGAGAACCACTGGACTACAGAAAGGCCAAGGTTACATACAGTGATATCCAAGACAGAAACAAAAAAAGAAAAGAAAAGCTGGCTTGCTTTATAAGAACTTCTCCAGGACACATTCCCCACAGTGTCTTCTAAATTTCCTATGTGAATCATAAATTCGTGACTTGTTATATATTCCTTGTACCTTCCATTTTATTCATTCTAGAAGCCTGTTTTTGAGTCTCCCTGAAAAACTAAGTCTGTCCCAGCTCCATAATATCAAAAGATGTAAGTGCCTTCTCCAGATGTGTGTCCATATCACTGAACACACAAAGGGTTTAATGGTGAATGGACCTTCCCACATCCCAGGACTGGGCAAAGGCAAAGAAGGAGAGACAGGGTGAGCTAAGAGACCTCCCTAGGCTGTCCCTCCCCAGTAGCCCTACCTCCTAGAGCAGAGGCTGAGAGTCCCTGAGCCATCAGCAGCTCCCGCAAACGGGCCACCTCCTCCTGCAGCTCTCGGATAAGCCGGGCATTGGGGTCCTCGTTGATGACAGCATTGCATCGGATCTGCTTGGTGCGGTCCGCATACCTGGGCAAGGCAAGATAAAAGTGGTGAGAGCAGGCCCAGGAGACTCTTGTTTTCTATCTGTTTCTTGCTCACCTTCCCAGATCTCAAGACATTGTGACCAGGCCAGAGGCTTTCCCTCCCTTATGACTAACCAGCCTCTGAAGGCCCGGCACTTTTGGTATGCTACCAAAGCTGAAACCCCACCTGAGCGTGCTGAGTGTCTCCTCATAATTGATGTCAGCAGGACTCAGGGCTGCAATCATTGCTGTGCGTGAGTTCCCACCTATGAATGGAGAGGATGCAAAAACTCCAGGTGAGCTGGACTGGGAGACATACTGCATGACTGTCACCCCAGGACCCAGGAGGTGGAAGAAGAGGACCGAGTTCAAAGCCAGCCTGGGATACATGAGAAGACCCTGTCTCATATTAATTAACTATATTAGAGTGGATTATAAAACAAGGGAGCCCCAGTACAAAGGTCTGAGGAGCCAATGTCGGAAGTAGGATAAAGCTGAGAACCGTGGAGCTGATCGTGAAGTCCAGCAATGTAGGGAAAGGTGAGGGCAGGGAGATATCAGGTTTATGTGTGCAGTCTCAGGCCTGGGGGAGGGAGATGAACTCAGCAGTATTTGGGGTCAGGGGTAAACAGGTCAGTGAGGTCCCTGGTTTGGCAGGGTGTTGTCATGATGTCATCATAGGAAACTTCCTTATATGATGACCCCCGGGTGAGGGGAGAACTGGTGGGACAACAATGAGTAGATTAGAGATTCTAAGAGAGGCCAAAGATTCTGTCAGATGGGAATGAAGGCAGGTTAGCAAAGATGGGGAAGGCACCCCTTACCCAAATTCTCCTTGAGCAGCCAGGTGAGCACAGAGTCTCTATAAGGTATAAAATCTGACTTCCGCTTCTTTGATTGCTGAGGGATAGAGAGGGAAGGTAGTCAGGCTGAGTCATTCCCTGTGCCCTCTTTTCCTGAGACTTTCCTCTTCCCGACCCTCAGGGCTTACCAAATCTGCCAGGGCTGAGATCACCTTCCCTAGAGTAGTCAGGGAGTTATTGATGTTGGCGCCTTCCTGGGAAAGGATGAGGAATGTGGAACTGAGACCTCCCTCTATCAATCAGATCCTGTCTCCTCTACTTTGCCAGCAGGGTCCTAGGGGAATGATCAACCTCCCTCCCTACATAGCCCTCATGCATACCATCCATCCCTTCAAAGCACCCTCACCTTTAGACGCATACCCCGGGCCCCTGAGGAGTCAGCCCGCTCGCTCCCAGCGAGGTCCACCAAGCTGATCTTACTGACCTGGGGTTGAAGGAAAGAAGCAGGTTGTGGCTGGGGTGGGTGGGGATGGGAAGGGAATTAGAGGAAAAGGGTGTTTAGCAAAGATTAGAGAAACCCAGGGGGAGACAAAGGAAAACAAATGAGATGACAGTGAGGACCTGGTTACTCAAAATTCATTTGTTCATTTAGTCACTTACAAATATTTATAGGCTCACTGTGTCCCAGGACAAGGGACACAGTGGGACTTGAGCCCTGCCCTGAGAACCTTTAAGGACAAGCAAGCAAACAGATTATAACATACTATCTGGCAGGAGAGTAGAGAGGGCCATAGAAGCCCCGAAGAGGCCCCAGCGAGCATAGGTGGGTAGGGAATGGGTAAGCCCCTTCCATCACATCATTTGAGAGAGATCGCTACCTTTTCTGAATCCAGGCCAGTAAGCTGGTCATGGGAGCGTTGAGTAAAGACAATAGTGAAGACAGCGTGGGAACGGCTGCTGGTGTCATTCATGTTGGTGGCAGCCACAGTTCTGGAGCAGAAAGCCGAAGTTTTAGGTTCCTGCCCCTCACCCTCACAATTTTTGGTCCCTTCCTTCCCATTCCCAGGTGAACCTGCCTCACCGAGCCTTATTTCCACAGTCCATGAGGTCAGCAATGTCTGCATAGGAAGTCACAGCCAATTTAGACAGGTCTTGTACATAGGGGCCCAGGATGGGGTGCTCCCGGACACGGAGGGAGCCCCGACTCTTGGGGTTTAAGAGGTCTCGTACTCGCTCACAATAAATCTCCATATAGCTCACCTGAGTGGGAGAAGCAAATAGCAAGTGAGGAAGCCAAGTGATGCTGCTGGAGAAACTGACACACACAGCCACTGGACAGGACAGCTCAAGCATGGCAAGCATGGCACTAGGGCTGAATTAGGTAGCTCACCGGTCCTCTCACCAGCCCTAGGAGGTGGGTCTAACCATTAGCATCCCATAGAAGAGCATACACAGGAACTACAAGCTGAAAACACTGCCCAAAGTCACATCAGTCACCAGCACAGCCAGAACCAGGTCCCAAGCTGACGCCAGAGACAGACCTCAGTCTTAATCACTGTTCTCCTACGTTCTTATCCGGGGGTATCAGGCCTCCTGCCTACCTGCACCAAGATTGGGGCTCACCTCCACAGAATAGGAAAGCTGTGTGTTCTGGTTCACGTTAACTCGAGAAAAGAGGTCCTCGCAGAGCTGGGAGGGGACACAGAGAAGTTCTTGTTCAGGGTATGCCTGCAGCTCCCAGCCCCAGGCCAGACCTTGTCCCAGATGACTCTTTCCACAGCTCCAAGGGAGGGGTCAGTTCCATTTTATAGATAGGAAAACAATCTCTCAAAGGTTCACATTTGTCTAGAGTCATAAGCTAGTATCCATCTGGCTAGGATGCAACCCCACGTATGCTGTACTATAGTCTATAGAGACCACTACAGATCATGGACAAAGAGAATTTGTCGGACAACTCTAGTTATTCACAATTATAGTTAACACCACCTAATATTGAAACCCAGCTATAAGACAAAATAAAATAGTAGTGAGCATGGCTCCTCTAATATTAATGCGTTGGCTGTTTTCATGGAGCCTTGTTGTCCTGATGGGTGCAAAGTCCTTCTCTCAAAAGGGCCCTGGGTGCAGCCAAGCCTTATACTCTATCACATTTCCAATCACAAACAGTCCGGGATAGTCAGGTCTTGGCTTATAATCCTTTTAACCCTGCCCTCCTTCCCCTGTGGCAACTGAAGATGTCCCTCCCCTGACTGCCCCGTTAGGACCCAGCATGTACCTGAGGCACAATGCCCTGCTGCCCCGGTTCCTGCCGCCCCATCATGGTGTAGGACTTCCCAGCCCCCGTCTGCCCATAGGCAAAGATGCACACATTGTAGCCTTCAAAGGCGTGCAGCAGCATCTCTTCTCCAATGTCTCGATACACCTGCTGTTGAGATGCAAACTGCGGATCCTCCACCTAGGTGAAATCGAGGCAGAGAAAGACAGGAGCCCCAGATGAGGTTGTTCTTTGTAAGCACCCTGACCACTCAGTGACTGCCCAAAGGTCTAGTGTGACCCTCACCTCACTACATCATCCCTGAGGCTCTTACCCAGCCCCATCACCTCACTACATCATCCCTGAGGCTCTTACCCAGCCCCATGCTGTTCCTAATTATCTGGATGAATTCTACCACCCCCTGCCCCCCGGCAGGTTCCAAACATAACCCAAGAGTACTATTCATTCCACCCAGAAGTGCTCGTCCTCCCAATCCAGTCCCTTGGGTATCCTTATTTCCAAGCAATAACCCCTCTTCTCAAGACCCAAATCTCCCCTCTCCTCTGGCTAAGCTCTCCCTCCAGCCCCAGTAGCCTCACCGAAGTGTGTGACCAATAAGAATAGTCGAAGGTGAAGCTCTTGGGGGCATCCTTGCTCTGTTTGGGATTGATGATGGCTGAGAAAACAGAGAGAAGAGAGTCAAGGTCAGGTATGCTCAACCTCTGCCCACTTTCCCATAAGCCCAGAGGATCCAGGATCCCACTCCCCAAACCTGTCCTAACTCATTTCTTCCCTTTAATAATCCCCACCCCCTCCAGCCACCAAAGCTAATTTTGGCTTCACAGGACCCGCCCCCATTGAGCTGCCTCCCTGGATTGGGCAATGGAGGGCTGCTGGCCAACAACATTCCCCCTCCCAGGGACAGGAACATGGAAAGGCCAGTTTGCCCCCCCCTTACACTAGCACATGCACTATGCCCAGCATGGCCTTCCTCCCGGGACAACCCACCAGGCCTGGCCTGGCCCTCTGATGCCCAGCTAGGCCTCTGGACTCACTCACAGGTGGTGTTACCCTGCATGCTGACCACACACTTGGCATCCTGGCTGGTGGC